TTTGGAATAAAGTTATAACCACGTGAATATGCAAAGTATCGATTATTACTTATATGTATGATATCTTCAATCTCAAATACGTACGAATGAGAACTTCTTAAAATTAGCTTAAAACCTTCTACTAATCTTACGGTTTGATGACTTTTATTGGCATGATAATTTTACGAGTGGATAAGACTTAATTCTTCATCATCTTCATTAAAGGAAACTTTCAACTCGATTCTAGTTTAGACCAACTCTTGGAACCATCAAACTCTTTAACTGAGAAAAGCGATCTTCCTTAGTATAAGATTGAATAAGTAAGAAGAATTTTAAATAGTTTTGACACAAAAAGTGCTAGAAATAATTGTACCTGTGTATCATCAAAGGATAAAATTCAAAAAGAGATTGAAAAATTCTAAATGTCCCAGAACTGAAAGTTGATAGTAACAAACACGGTCAAAAAAATCTTATAAATAGTATAAAAACATTGATTTGACGTGATGATCAACAGAAAATATCAGAGACAATCATCGTCGACTCCTGATGCCGTCTTATTCTTAGAATGAAATACTGTAAATGTTGGTTTTAAATCATACCCAGGCTAAAAACTTTAGCCTGGCCTGGCCTACAGGCCAAGTCAAATATTTTCTAGCCTGATCAGACCAGACGAAAATTTAAAAATCCAGCCTGGCCTGCTGTCAGCCAGGCGCCTGGCAGACAGCAGGCCAGGCTAGCAGCTCTGGTACGTTACCATCCCCATTACGATTTTCTGTAGTTATTTCGAAGTATTGTCCGGCCATTTTTTAAGTTAAATGAACTTTTAACAGTATTTCGAAAAGAAAAACATCTCTCAATTCTATGAAGCACCAACTACGAATCAATTATGCGTATCATCCACTTAATACAAAAAAATGCAGCAAATGAAACCAAATAGACTACTTCAAGAAAAATTTGGAAACTGAACATTCAGTACGAGTCAGTGAAAACTGAAAATTTATGAACGAGGGAAGAGAACGAACATGAAATGCGTTTTCTACTTTGACGTCCTTTATCGATTGCCTCAAACAAAAAATATGGCTTCATCATTATCATCAACAGCTACAAGCTTCGAACATTTTGGTCACAAACTCTATTCGACTGTCAGTAAAAATAACAAAGATCAAAATGTATTTCTTTCACCAGCAAGTATTGCTCTTGCTATGTCAATGTGTACAGTTGGTGCTCGAAAAGAAACATTAGATCAAATGTTACATGCTCTTGATGCATC